CAAAAGTACATGTAGTTAATTTGTTCATATTTTAGGATTAAAATGTTTTTAACGGAACTATCTCTACATTGCTTTGTAATTTAAAAGTTCCAAAGAAACGTTGCAGGTATTTTTACCGATGATATAGGACTGTTTCTAAACATAATAGTTTATGGAGTGAAAACCCTTCTCATACCCATTGGTAAAATACAATGCAATGTGAACCGAGCCTGAAATGAACACATGGCAGTTATTTAGAAAGGAATGAGAAGCACAAGGAGATGGAGGGACGAGAAAAATGGTGTCAACCAACAGAAAGATGTGTGCGTGAAGAGTAGGTTGGGGGAGAAAGACGTGCCTGTCTGTGTGTGTGTGTGTGTGTGTGTGTGTGTGTGTGTGTAGAAGGAGGGTGGGGATGGCAACAGCAGAGATAGATGAGGACAGTGTGAGGAGAGGGAGTGAAAGTGTTATCAAGCTACTAGAGCATTTGGCTGAGAAACGAGGCGTGCGGGGGGAAAAAGAAAAGAAAAGGAGGGCGGGGGGGTCACAGGGTCACAGCGTAGAGTCTGCGCTGGAGAAGACACAGACACCAACCTTTTAACCGCTGAGATAATGATAATAAGCCCATGACTCCTGTGTGCACCAATGGAAAGAGCTGCAGTCCAAAAGGAGATATCCACCATTTGAAATAATTGACCCCTGCTCCTAGAAAATAACTGCTGGTACTAAAGTAAAGCCCATGACCGCCTACTATTACGGTTATGAGTCACTTGAAGACGTTCACTCACAAAACCGTTATGACTTTTAAGAGAAGAATCCTTTGTGTGTTTTCAAATAATAATGACGAGTTTTTTCTGCTTGGAACCTTTGAGATATTACCAACCCACAAGTCTACGGACACTATATTTTTAAATTTGGAAAAATTGTGTCTGTTCGGCAGAATACTGTAAAGGCCATCAGAAATGGTTTGGAGACTAAAGGGAACTAGTGTCACTGGAAGAGCCAAAATATAAAATACAGAAAATATCCAACAGTTATAACAATGAAAAGTAATAATATAAACCTGGATTTATAACACTAAAGGTCAGGCATTACATTTTTTACTTCAGACCACCTCTGAGTCATTTTTTGTGTCTTTCAAATTACAAAGAAGATGAATGATCCAAAAATGTGACCTTATAATTCATGTTTTAACCTAAATGAATGTCCTCAACATGTTTTTCACATTGTGACTCCATAAATCACACAGACTCAGCACCAGGACCTCTCACCCCTCACCTTTCACCCTGATCCGCACAACATCAGAGAATCTGTCAGCGACGCATTTTAAAATGACCATCACTATTTTTTGTGGTTTTCTTTCAAAACGGAAAAGGCAAAGTTTGATTTTATCTCCAACTGACAGAAATGAGCGAATCGTCTCATCTATACACTGTGTTATGCATTTTACGTTTTACATGCAGTTTTATAGACATGTTACAGCTGCACAAAGCTGGAGTTTGAAATGAAACCATCTCCTGTGCAAGTTTTGACACAACTATCGTACCTAACCTCTGCCTCCCTCCCTCCCTCCACCTCTGACCCTCATGACACACCACCTTAAAGAGCCTTTTAACATTAAAGCAGCCCATCACCTCACACTTTCACTATCAGATGTGTGATCTCCATTTAGAGTCAGGATACACATGTTGCTGCCACTCAACATCTCTCAGGTTTCTACCCAGTGTCAGTGAAGTTTCCCGTCACCTGAACTAACAGCTTTTATCTCTCTGCTCCTCCACTGTAGGTCTCCTTTCACGCATCCACTAAAGCCTGAGCATTTTCCTGGGGCTGTTTGTGAGAATGCAAATGTGCAAGTCAGTTGTTGCTGAAATTTTGCAGAAATGTCCCGGCCAGGCGCCTGGTTAAATGTCCACAACATGTCAGAGTGAGCCCGTGTGAGAGTGCAGCAGAAAAAAACTCAAATAATACAAATATCTCAGGATGCAAAGAGTAGACATTCACGTAGAAGATGCAGATGAAGACGTCAACTTGGAAATTCAAGAGCTTTTGGTGATAGAATGGACACTCGAGTCGATATGCTGACAAAAGACGGGATTTCCGCAGCAGAAGTTATACAACATGTCCTGCCTCCTGCTGCTCCACCCAGCCATCACCTCTTGGCTCAGGAAATTTTCCTGTTGCTGTTAATGTGTCATCTCCTGCTGCGTTCTTCAGACATTTTCCAGAGTCCTTATCTGAAAGCAGCTTTTATGTTTCCATCCAACGGTCAAAAGGAATTTTTCTTATAAAATCTCCACGTTAGCACGGTGTCCTATGAGAAAGAAACGGTTTCTGGAGTCGCACAGCAGAAACATGTGTCTTTAGGTTACAACTGAATTCATGAAACTGTTGAAAGACAAGAGGAAAATTAAAATCTCTAGTCTGGTGACATAGCTGACGAACTGACTTAATCTAACTGACATATCACTGAGGAAATATTCAGCTCCAGTCCTAACACAACAATGTCAATTCAACACTGCTACAAGAGCCAAGTCCCGAATTAGAGAATGCCGCTCTCGTCAGTTGAAGACCTCCAATATGGCAGCCAGAAGGTGCGTTACATCACCTGAAGGGAGTCTATAAAAACCTCTGTGAGGTTCAACAGATTTTTTTAGGAAAGAACATCCAACCACCATCCCAGAAGCGTCCCGAAGAAAACAGACGAAGACTCTTGCTTTGTAGTTGCTGCCGGCTGCGTTCCTGTTCTTTCTCCTGATAACTCATATTAATGTCAGTATTTCTAAGCAGTCCCCATTGAGAGTTTGTTTAGTTTCGAGTCAGTAATTCAGCTCAGAGAATATGAAGCTTTGGAGCAGCAGCAAACCGCAGCTCTGCTCCGCTCACTTCTTAGAGAATATAATTTAGATTTTGCTCACGAAGTCAATCAGCTATTAATCAGAGTGTTAATTTTTATGACCTGTGCAATTCAGGGAATAACTGACGAAGCAGCAGATATAACTGTAATAACTAATGTCCAATTCTAAGCTACTGAAGCTTATACAAAGTGCTATTTGTGGTCTCTCTGAGTCCTGATAGGGGCCAAGATTTGTATAGAAACACTTGTCAGGTTTCGTGCTGACTGATAGCAGCTATAGTAACAGCAAAAGTGGACAGTATTGCTGTAGGCACTAGTCTTGCGCACCATCATTCCTGAGTCGTGGTCTTTCCTCTGACAGAGTCATAAACATGCAGGTGTGTGTGTGTGGGGAGTGTTGTGCTGTGCCCTCACACCTCGATTCTATTGACTCGAGCCTCCGTGTGAACTGACGACACACTCACACACGTAACAAGGCAATATCTATTGGAGATTCCAAGGTAGTGTGTGAATTGGATAGACTCAGGTATCATCTCGGCAGCAGGAAGTTGAAAGTGTGTGCGCATTCAGAAAGTCTTGTGAGATGATTTACTTACAGCCTCTCCAGCAGCCTGAGGTCTTGAAAGGCTCCTCTCTCAACGACAGTGATTTGGTTGTCCTCCAGATGACTACAGTGACAGACACAAAAAAGACAGAAAGAAAAACAAATCCAGGATTAATTCAAAGACTTGAATGGCACTCGGTAAAGGACACGCACCTCCGCCAGCAGTCCCCTTAAATTAAATCAAGACGCAACAAATGGCACAGATTCAGAGATATCATTCCCCTCAATATGTCGGATTGTTTTCAGCCATGTAGATCCATTAATCATTCCCTGGGAAAATCTGTGAAAATGTCAAAAAACATCACTTTTAAAATATTAAAGAAAGTGAAAAGAAATTCCTGGATCCATCCCTTTGTCCAGATGGGAATAAAAAAATGTACGGGTCCTTTCTTGGCCCACGACCGGCTGACAAAAAAACAAGCAATCCAACAAACAAACCACCTGATGAAAACACAACACACAAGTGGTGCTGGTAATAATCTGATTCAAGACAAGATAGAAATCATTTTGTTTAAATTCCACAGTTAAAATATCACATTGAGGGAGAACCATGTCATCGGGAATGTCTTCCCACAGCCGGTTTCCCAGCTGACCTGCAGGTTCTCACCAGAGGAAGAAACACCAGATAAATCTTATTTTCTGGCCGATGCAAACAGCAAAATTAGCTGCTTGCCAGAAACAGACCTTTCAAACATGAAGAGAGACACTTGCACTTTTTAAAAATGGTTGTATAAACAACTAATCAGTGTGCTGAACAAATGAATGTAGCGTGAAGCTAAAGTTTAAGACATGCAGAGTTTCACAAATGTCCCAATGCAGTCAGCCAAAACAAACAATTCACCACCCGTTCCTCTTCCACCCCTCGATGGATAAAGTCTCCATTTCTCTTCTGCCTTTCCAGTGGAGATCCCAATGTAACATATATTCCTCTGGTTCCCTCTCGGCTCTCTCTGTGTGTGCTGTAATGTTTTTTGGGGCAACCTAAGGTTTTCCAGATGGGACAGAGAATGGGAGAGAGAACATCTCAGCAGATATGTGTTTATACTTTCTGTCTTAGGATGTTAAGAGTGACATCTCCAGAGAGGGAGGAGGAGATCGATGGAAGAGAGAGGTTGATGTGAGAGGAGGAGGTAGAGAGAGAGAGATTCAAAAATTAAGAATCCCACAATGATGAGATGGATTGAGTGAGAGAGAAAAAAGAAAGACGGAGCCAAATATGACTGAAGGAGATGTATCAGAGAGAAGACACTGTCTGGCCTGCTATGTTGAGTCTGAATTGTTTTGGCATGAGCTTAATTCCTTTAGATATTCTTTCAAAAAAAATCATTTTTAGACATGTAGCTGAATGACAGCCATTAATTCATGGTCTGAAATACCTCTTTACACTAACAAACAGACACATGCAGACACACAAACAATCTGTTGGACATATTCATATTCATATTCAAGCCCTCTTATAGGCATGAGCAAAGATGCACACACACTTTTATCTTAATTTAAAATGGCATTTACCAGTATTTATTTAAAAGAAATTAAAACTGTTGAAAACCATGTCAATGAAGCTAATATTCTTGGTAAACAGCTATTCCGTAGTATAACCACTTGTTATTTTGTTTATTTTCCCTATCAATTACTCTGGTGAACAATGAAATGCTAAGTTGCATTTTCTTTTCATTTGTCTTTTCTGTTTATATAACAAGAAGCAGGAAATAGTGTAACTTAGTGTATAATTATAGGAAATAATGAGCTTTCTCATCAAAAATTACCCAAAATATTTAGAGAAAATAGTTAGAAATGGAATTAATCAACAGTTTACTTGATCCACAAAAACAAACACAGTTATGCTCTGGTAGCAAGCAAACCCAAACACACACATAACCACTCAACATGTGCTCAGCCCTGACTCCAGCCCATCAGTCATAATTCACAGGCCAGCCAGCATTAATCCATCATGTTTATTCCAGCTGCATTTTCTCCATCCTGATAGAAAAAGCTAAATCAGGACATGACTCTGAGTTACTATCAGAGTTTATTTGTCCAAATGAGGGATCAACCACATGCTGACTTATGAAAAGTTTTAAAGGGAGGAGGGAATCATCAGCCAAACACATGGTGTTGGGAGTCGCATATTGTTCAGATGAAGCACTGTTTTTTTATTGGGGTGTATCAGGCATTAGTCATCAACAGAGATGGAGAAAAGAGAGAAAACATACTGATTTCATGTGTGTGGGGCCTGGTGTGTCTAATAACTCTTCCATTCAACCTTATAAGCAAGTCTTAGCAACCATTCGAAAAAAGCCCAATGATGTCATGCTACCTTGTGGCAAACTCAGCTCTTCTCTCTGAAGGAAATAAGGGAATCCTTCAGGGAGTATTAACGTCACTTGTTTACGCACAATGGGTGAAACCACAGTAATTCTCCCCGGCCAAATGTTCAATATCAAGCAGGAGTTTTTTACCTACATCTAAATTTGTTTGGAATTACTCAATTTCTCCACAATCTGGAAGACATCTTGCAGGTTAGGGCTGCCAAAGATATTATGGATCAGTAAGTGCTGCACAGGCAGTATCATGCAGAGACGAGCTGTGATTACAGCAAAAAGATCTGTCCAATTAGTCCAATTCACACAGATTTGTTATTATTGTTTTCTATGATTATTAATAACTAGAGCAGTTTAAAGTACAATTGATATTGAATTATTTATTTATTCCCTTTTCCTGTGTGCGTGCGTCTTCCCTATTTCTTCATGTTTTGTGTTTATCTGGAAAGGAGATGTGTGCGTTTGTAAATTAGGGGTGTCTTGTAATCCCAGGAGGGGATGGGTCAAATGCATTGTGACACAGAAATAAAAATATATATGAATGTATAGTATGATATAATTATGTTGCATGTGTTATCGTTTTGGTTGAGACGTTAAATGGATGCCAGTTCATAATGGCAGTCGTGAATTTGAACAGAAGTAATAAAGGTTGTATTCCCATGAGTGGATGGATGGATAATTAGGAATAATGACAAGCTTGTATGTGGGCATAGGTGTCGAATAAAGATTTTTTTTTTGCAGCTACTGGCTTTTACTGGAAAGTAGATAGAAGCTTTTAACTACATGCAAATTTTTTCCCATGGGATCTATGTGGGGGGTTAAGTGACAAAGAGAAGATTGAGACTGAGTCTGATAGTGTGAGAAGAAGAGTGTTAGAATAAGAGCTGAAGAGAGAAGAGGGGTTGATAAAGTAACAGTAATGGTCAAGGCTACACTCAGTTGATAACCACAGCGTGCGTGTGTGTGTGTGAGTGTGTGTGTGTGTGTGTGTGTGTGTCTGAGGTTGAGTGTGTACTTTCTCAGACTCCTCTCTTTCCCAAGCCATCTCCTTCTCATTTCTTTAACAGATTTGGAGTGGGGAAATGTCACAGCAGTTTATCACCAACCACATGAAACAAGCTGCCGGCCCACCACACACAAACACACTCTCACTCACACACACTAACACACACAGCCTCTTTTTTGGTCCCAGTCATCCTGTCTTAAGTACACAGGATGCACTTAAACATCTCCTTGTCTAATTCCTTGTAGTGCTGAAAAACACATGCAGCGATTAAAAACATGAAACAATCACTAAACATAAATTAAAAAACTCACCACGGTCCTCACAAGTATAGTGGATGTGAAACAAACACACCAACAAATACAAACACACACACATGCATAAACATACGTCCACTCCTTCAGCGTAGTTTGTGATGGGAGTGTATTTTTATCTGCCCGGTCTGGTTAAAACAGAATGAGGAGGGAAGCTGCATGCAGCCAACAGTGATTATAGTTATTACAGGCCTCACACACACACACACACACACACACACACACAAACATACACACATGCATACACACAGATTTGAGCCACTTCAGTTAGAAGAGCTGTAGAGCCCTTGAAGTCATTAGGACAGCTGAGAGGACCAGAGGAGTCATGCTCCACAGAGTGCAGCCGTTTAAATATGATGAGTATGACAAGCTGGAGAAACATTAGTGATGACTTTACAGATGATTGGCGTTTTCTTTTCGAAAATACAAAAACAGGCACAAAAATGTAAAATATAGAAGGTCCATGATAAAAAATGTCCAATGGGAACTTTATGGTCACCTGCAAGTTTACACAGCAGTCAATGAAGCAACTTTGAAAGTAGTTTCAACTTGAGATTGGCCTGTCAGTCGGACTCATGTGATTTTGTCGCTTGAAGTTCAATCCCTAAACACTTCCTGGACAGATCAGAGGCTGGAATCACGACATCACGTTAGTTCAGGTTGGACACTTTCTGGCAAGTGCGTACAGAAGGAACATTTACATTGAGCAAAAAAGCTTTCAATGTACATATGTGGTTGCTTGAGACACATTTTTCTGTCCAAACCTGTCTGAGCCCAAGAGAGAACTAACTGAACCCGACCCCGGCATGCCTGTGTCTAATTTTCTCTCTCTGGTGTTTCCCTAAATTGCAAAACATGAAAAATTCTGCACAATCCAACTATTGTTCAGAGACTCACGGGAGACAATAGTGAACTCCACGTTTTCACCAGCTTCGGATCATCTGCACATCATCATAGACCCCACCAGTCTAACATCTTGTTGTTATGTTGCTTGTTTAACCAATGGGGGTCTCGCTGCTTGTTACTGGCACCTCAGCACACGATAAGTCTTTTATTTAACCTCGTAAATATTCAGTAATTACGACATTCGACTCCTTGGATAAGACACTCGAATTCTCTCCTGCCCTGAAGTCCCTCATTAGGATGGGAAACTGTATTTTATAGAGACTTGTTTCCCCGATAGCCATACACAGGCTTATTAGGTTAATATAGCATTTGTCTAATTACTCCGGCATGGAATCTTTTTTGTAAATGGGACTCCTTGCAAAGCAGCAAATAAAAGTCACAACAAGGAAAAATAGAGGAGAGTAGGCACATAAAAGACCTGGTAGACCTGGTGGATTCAACCTCTGATACCTTCCAACCTCGTACCTATTGACTAAATAAGCTGAATCCAAAAGCAACTTTTCTGATTTCTCAACCCAGTGGCAAACTCTGTGGTTTTAATGACTAAAACTTGGTTAAGCTGAGGACAGAGTGATTTAATAAATGACAACAAAATGTTTATTTTCAGCAGAGGATGGGACACAAATCTTGATCTCCAGAATTTGGGAACACACCATCAATTATCATGCTAGACTTTTTCCAACAACATGAGCGGGTTACTCTTCCTCAATACTTTGACTGCATTAAATAGTATGATAGAAAGTGATCACAAAGACATGAGGTGTCTAAGGTTACCTGTTTTCATTTTTATTAGGACATTTGATGAAAGCCATTTAAGGCCATCAAAAAGCTTGAAGAACATTTTTTTTACAATACTAGACCTTATAGTAAAATAAATGTTTTTTTTACTGAAACAAACTGATTTGAGGTAAGCTTGTTGCACTACTTTAACATTTTCTGGAATAATTTTAGTATCACTGAAATATTCATCACATATATCACCACAAAATGTTGAAATTAACAGATAAAGAATGAAACTTACAGAATCCTCAGGTTCTTGAGGCCAGAGAAGTCCACTTTAGTGATTCTGGTGATGTTGTTTCTGTTCAGATCCCTACACAAAGAAACACAGAGGTTAGAGGTCAAGTTAAATTCAACTGCATGAACTTGTTACAACACACTGTATTTGTTGTCTTTATAAAAATGATAAAAAAGCAAATAAACATTGCTGGGCACCCACTTATTGTGTGTGTGTGTCTTTATTTGTGTGACTGTGTGCGTTCTAGTCAAATCATTGAATGTGGCTGTGGGACAAAGCGTGAGAATGCCCCTCAGCAAATGAGCCCACACACACATACAAACAAACATACAAACACAAATAAACACACAACCAAAACATACTAATACTCCCACTGTACAGGCACAGATATTTTGTGAACAAACGCGTGGGCGGGCGGGCGAGGGCGCACACACACACCTCCTACTGCTGTGATTTATTGAGAAGCAAAGTTTCCAACAAAAAAAGTGTGATGAAATTATTTTCTCTTTCCATCATCAGAGTTTAAAAGCTTATCATGTTTCCTGGCTGTCATTCAATCTGTTTTAACTATGAGTGCACAATGTATACATACTGCAATGTGAACTGACTGCCTGAGTGTGTATAGACTGGTTCCCTTTATACAGCTATGCTGTTTATTGAAACGCTGTCGCACTGGAGGAATTAGGGCAAGGAAAAAAAAAAAACCCATTCACACACACACACACAGGAGAACACAGACAAACAACCGACACAATTTTCTCTCTTATTTCACACACAAACTCTCCATAAGCTTTCACTTGCCCTCTCTCGCTCACAGACACACTCACACATACACATAAACAGAGTCTGGTTTTGCCAAGGCACAGTCTGCGTGTGTGTTTTTCATAATACACCTAAACATTTATAAATCTGATTTAAGACCATATTAGGTTTCAAAAGGCTTCCCCAAGCTGCCATGGCAAGGACCACTAATAAGAGCCATACCCTGGCCTGAGACAGGGAGGGCTGGTGCAGGCGAGGGCAGTGCTTCCCAAAGCCCAGAATGTGGTGCACAGTCCACCAGGGGTCCATGAAAGAGCTCAAGGATTAATGAACGGTTTGAATATCTCAACTGATACAATGGGAGGTAAAATAAAATAATGAAAGAGACGAGACGAGAGCTACTGAGGAACTTTGAAAACAGTATTTTGATATTCACAATCTGTCAAATCATCACATGCAATGTAAAATGGGTCACTTGCAGTCACTGGTCGTGAAGTGTACTGAGTCACAGACGTTAATGGATTCCTCTGGTCCTTTAAGGATTATTTTGGCATCATCAAGCTCGTTGAATTTCATTTTGCAGCACGTAACTTTATTGTTTTGGTTCACTCTCATCAGCCCTATTTCCAGACAAGCAACAAAAAAGGTTGGCAAAGTTAGCGACTATCTGGTGAAGAGAGAAGCATTGAGCAGCTGCAGAGGGAGACATTTCCCTCAGAAGATGGATGAGACCAAAACAGAGCTAAAAAGAAGTGTGAATAGTTGGTTTACACTAAAACATCACAAAGAGAATTCATTCATCCATCTTTCGGGTCCATTCAAGAGACCAGATTCTCTTCAGCATCATCAGATGCTGCTGGTTCTTGTCCCAGGTTTTCAGTGTGTGTGTTATTGTAAAACATTTTTATGAGCGTTTCAGGATGTGATTAAAAACTCAGTACAGCAATGATTTAACATTTTCATCTTGAGGAAAGAGGTGCTTCCAGGTTTTTTATTTTTATGTCTTCATTCACTTGAATCTGCAGCAGCATCCAATCTGAGCATTTCTGTTTCCCATCACTCGACCTCTATCCATCCTCTCCTCCCTGTTACCCCTCTGTTATCTGCCACTTCTTATCTTTTCACATTTGGCAACAATCTTTCAGCTTTTCTTTTTTCCTTCCCTCCATTAATCTATCTTAAATCTCTCCTTTCCCCAGTCACTGCTCTTTAGTGTCAATCTGTCAGTCCTTCACAGCCAGCATCAACCTGATTTCCCAGCCTTCCTCTCAACTTTTTCTTTCTAATCTCCCCTCTTTTACTGTCTCCCCTTCCCTCAATCTCTCATGTCTTATCTTTCTCTGTTTCACAGTTGACTAAACACTTTTTCTTTGCTTTCCTCTGTTTTTTTTTTCTCCCGTCTAATCTCCCCTCTTTTATCTCAATCTTTCACTCTTTTATAGTCGGCTATATTTTTCCTTCCCCTCTCTTTTTTCTCCCCCTGCTTCTCTAATCTCTCCATCCTTATCTCCATCTTTCTCTTGTTCACAGTGGAAACTTCTGCTCTCACCAGGGAAACCGCTCTGTGGTCAAACAAACACTGAGGATACAGAGCCAGGTGGAGAGCGACGACATCGCCATATCTAAAATCCTGACAAAGTCAGTGCCGCTGAGTATGATTGGATGTTACTCGCCGTAATAACAAACAGTAGAAATAAGATAAAAATCACATCCTACACTGCTATAACAGGAGCTGATAGACAAACCCTCATCACTGTAAGAGTAGAGACGTTCCAAAACCAGCATCGGAAATGTCTCAGACTGCAGGCGAGTACGCAAATCTATGTACCTATCCGATACCACGTCTTTAAAGTATTCACGCAGATAAAACTGCAATTCTCTCTCACTTCTTTGCCGTTTTAAACAGCAGTTGACCTGTGCTCCCACTTACAGGTATCGTTTTTAGTGCAGCCAGAGCTGCCTACAATATCAGCAGTTTGGCAATATTTCATGATTCCTACAAGTAAAACAGCATCTTAAACCATATGCAGGTCTTAATTTACTATTTTTGTTCTTTCTCAGTTACAACTGTCAAACATAAAAGAAGTTCTCTATTCTGTTTTTCAAAACATGAGCCAGTCCATACACCCCCCCCACCCCCCAGCAGTAAAGTTTAACTCAGCTTTAAATTTAACTGACCAGCTGGCAGTCAGACAATCAACGAGAGGCTTAACACAAAAGCCTTAACCAGTGTTTGTTTCCATTACAAGCAGGAGTAAGACACATAATGACACAAAGGGATAAGACAAGAATGCAAACAGCAGGTGTTCAGGGAATTAATATACCATCACCAACACAAAGACACACACACAGCTCCCCACCAAATCTCATCCCTGACCACTGAAACCAGTGAACCTTATAGTCTGGCTGCCTTAGGCCAACAAGTTAACTGACATTAGACACACACACTGCAGATAAAGGTATGTGGACAAAAACTAAGAAAACAGATGAATATCTATTGGAATGTATGTACTGGTATTAACATCCATCCTCCGAGATCCAATCACAGCGTTAAGTCTGACCACCTCCAAATGTGGTCTGAGTGACTGGATCTCAGGATGCATTTGGTTGTGTTCAGTCATGAACTTGAATGCGGTCAAAGCCTGAAGAGCTCAGTGAATGAGAGGCTGGACTTGCCACCGCTGTGGTAAAATGAAAAAACATGAATCAAAATGTTTGGTAAGTCAGATCACATGCAGGTCGCTTGTGTTTCTCTTCCTCTACTCGTGCAACTATCTCCGTCAGTCTGGTTTGTACGTTTTCTTGACCTTTGCCCTCTGTTTTCCTTTATTTGGGACAACAATGAGGAATAACGATTAAGTCCTGCAAACTGTTTCCTCTCTTTGTTCTGTCTCTGTCTATCTGTCTCTGACACTGTGACATTTCCTCTTTTCACTTTTTCTCCCACTCTATCGGTGCGCTGCATCCTTATCTCTCTATCCCTCCATCCTTTCCCTTTCATCCCTTGTTGTTCTCTGCCTCACGCCTCGTTTCCGAATGCGTTCGCTTCCTGTGCTAATCTCCTGTTATTTTCCACAACGCTCTTGTACCTCTTCACTTTCTCATTGCTCCTTTCTTGCTCTCCATACTTCTCTCTCTCTCTTAGATAGGTATGCTCAATTTCGCTCTCTAAATCTCCTAGTTACGCAAGGAATCCTAATTGCCTTCTTCCTTTTCCTCTAGAGCTCTACTGTGTCAGTCACAGTAACGCTGGGCCAGGATCAAGCTGCTTCAAACTTAGCCTTCGGTTCAAATGTTTGGATATGACATTTAGCAGCAATTTTTCACATAACCACGTAATCTCACTTGATATTAACCATAAAGGGCAAAAATAATGTTACAGTAAAAATTCCTGATCAATCAGGGCTGAGAGAGCAGCTTATTGGAGCCAAACCAGTGAGAGAAGTCTATCTATTTTGTTGGTAAATACAAATGAACGGTTAAAATATATTCTTAACTGTGCATGGTGGAAGATAGGAGGTGGCCTTTAAAATCTGAATTCACCATGCATAAGAGATAAAGCTACACAACTAACCCAGATAAAAATTCTATTCATGGATATTTGTCATAGCGCTGTCATTTCCAAATGACAGAGATTCAGCCATTGGGGACATCAGCCACATTAAACATGTGCTCTTACTTTCTCCCTCAACAAATGGCAATGCACCAGAGCAGCAGGGTAAGGAAAATAAAGAAAACCATGAGAAAATATTGTGATCTCAATTCTAAGAACGATGATTCTCTTTTTATCCAGAAAAGTGCTGACCTAACAAGAGTTCGACCAAGTTCATGATCAAAAAAGTCTGCCTTAATTGAAAATGATTCAACTTGAGGAAGATGTTCATGCTTCGACAAAGGTTTTTCAAATCTAGTTCATAAACCAATGGAGACGAGAAAGACGAAGGGAAACAACACAAAGAACTGGAGCTGAGTGTGTAAAAGATATCTCTTAAAGAAAAAATGGTGGAGGTAACAATGTCAGTCAAGCAGCAAGCTCTGTGGAGCTGTGCTGTATTTCTGTTGCTATAGAAACAAAATGTTCAAATGGAGCTAACAGCTGGATCGTGGCAGAGCACAGATATTTAACATTAAATGTATGTACGTGACTTGAATGTATAAAGTTTTATTATTTAAGCAAAACACTCAAATGTAATATAAATGATTGTGTAACATGTACATCATGCATTTTAAAGGTGGAGAGATGTAATCCTGAAAAGGATTACAAAGAATGACATGTAAAATCCCTGTCTCTGTTTGCGGACCATATATTGTCT